CACAAAAGCGACTGATTTTTTTCGCTGAACGTTTTGCACCTCCAGTATTTCCTTGGACTAATCTCCGATCGCCAATTTTTGTAACTCGACAGTTGGCCGCTGCGACCATCCATTACACTGTGATGCGTAATATACATTAAAGAACTGGGAAAAATAAAACTGGAGATACACTACATTTGCCTCGAAACCCCATAATTAGGAAGTGACTGCGGTTGGTTGGTTTTTCTAACAAAGCAGTCATGTCAGGGGTAACCGGAGATGGTCGCGCAAATATGGTTCCGCGACATACATTGCTCTGAAACGCCTTAGGTATCGAGAGGACTTTTCGCTGAAATCGATAGGCGCTCATGTGCGACGGATTATGCCTCCATGCCAAGACCTCAATTTGACAATTATGGACTCGAGTTTTCAACCTCTGACTCTTTGTGGTTTGGTACAGATGAGGTTAAATTCGCTGTTACAATGTTCTATTTGCCAAATCTTATTGAGCGTGACCAGCAACCCTACCACTCCGCCCCCTTACTTGGTTTCCGTGCCAGAGATCAACAGATAAAGTATGACGAATAGCACGGAGAGGACAGACGAAATGGGTATCAATCATCCGCCGACCTGCTTCCATGGAAGATCCTGTAACCAGTTGGCTCTAGACACTGAAACCAGCGACAAGCTGAGAGCAGTGATGTTTTCGTTCACTGCATGTGTATAAAGACTTGCGTAAACGCAGTTAGAGTGTTCCGTTTTGGTTCTATTGGTTCAATTCCCTTTCTCAATCTTAGGCAGACTGTTTATTTATTCAACGGCTTACCACCGTAATTCGGTCCATTGAATATACGATCCAGTTAATTTTCAGACTAGAGTTAGCAGGCGATGAACAGAGGTCATTACTAGAGTCCGCTTCATTGTTTCAAGTTAAAAAGCTAAAACCATTTCCAGAATTTAATGTTTGCTCAGTCAAACGATTTACCGTGTTCTGGTTGCTCATCGAGCCGAATGAAACCCCAGAGACCTAGATGGAGCGAAGTAACTAAATAGATGAGATAAAATATAAAACTCGATGGAAGACAGCAACCAACTGATCACGTGAGCTCCTCAGTTGTAACGGTCAACGTGTATGAAGTACACACAATCATTTCGGATACATGATCGTGTCTAAAAAAATACGTTTATGAGGAACGGGGTTAGTCTGACTGTATCTATAATTCAAAAAGAGAAATAGAACAGGCAAGCGCACGTGAATCCAGCTGTTAGAAATAGCATGCGGAATCAAAATTTGGTTAAATTAAAAAGCTACGGACAAGAGGTGAACCGAAAAGGTACCATGGTGAACTAGTTTAGAAAAAAAGAACCTACTTTTTGGAATCTGGAGACCAGCACAACGAGCCGATGTATGCGGGAGTATTCAGTACGCGGAAGAACGACACCGTGTGTCGCGTCGGGTCCACACGCCATACATCTACATTAGCCTCCTTACCTCCAGCAGCCAGATACATACC